CCCCCCCCCCCCCCGCAGTACTGGGATCGTACTCAGGACCTTGCACTTTTGAGGCAGGCATGGTGCCACTGAGCTAAATCCCTGGCCCTGGTATTTACCATTTTAATGTGAAAATTTTCCAGGACTCATCGTTTGGGTGGTATGACGTGTAAGTTAAAACTTGACGGTGTCTGTTGTCTCGTGACTCACTACCCTTTCCAGCCAAAACAATTTGTTTGGTATCCATTGTTTTTGGTACCTGCCTCCCAGAACCAGCTAACAATGGCCACTGTGGTACCACTGTATTTCAAATCAAACTGGAGAGAATCCCTTTAGAGGAAGAATATATTAAAGACACTGAGAGAGGGCCAAGGCCTGAAAACAGCTTGCCCTGCTGTTTATGAATTTTTCTTATCTGTTTCCTGATGAGAGTCTTACAGCTGTCCCCAACCTCATTTACTGCTGGGCGAAGTGAGGCGCAGAAGCATCACCTCTCAGGGTCATGTGCTAGGGCACAGCTAGTGATGACGCTCCAAGTTCCTTGCTCATTTTACTGGACAGCACAGGCCTGGTGGCCCTGCAGGACTGCTTTGTGGCAGGAGGTACCACATATGGCCCAGGTTTTTATCTTCATCCCATTCAGAATGCTGCAGGCACAGTGGCTGAGCTTGGTGGCCAATGGCCCTCCGCAGTTGGTGGTCGTCAGAGGTACAGTGATCCCACACTGTGGGTTTGGGTCCTACATTTATGACACAGCCTTGATAGTGAATTACTTTGCTCTGGAACACAAGATTCTCTTAATATAAACACAGATCAAACGGAGTACATCAGCAGGAGAAAATACACTTGGATTTAGAAGAGTTCTAAAAAAGAAAAAGCAAAACCTAACTGACTACTTTAGAGAAGCTGGTTAAGTGACATATCTAATATTACTGTGACTATGTTGATCATAGTACAAAGAGATCTGTGTAGATTGCTTAGAAATTCACACAGTGATTACAAAAATATATATAGTTTGCCAGTTGGCTGGCCCAGACCTAAAATGAAACAGAAACCATTTTTATTTATTTATTTTGTAAGGTAAATAAATAAAGCTTGCAAACAGATCAATTTCATGCATACAAGGTTTTATAGTAGGGAAAAAAATACATTGCTCCTCTTCTGACCCTTTACATTTGAGGTTATTTGTTTTCAAACTTGACCCTAAGCACCAGTTTCAGACAATTCTATAATTAATTTGTTAGATAAAGCATAAGGATATTTTGTTTTGATTTCTAGGATGATAGGAAAGGAGTAATTGAACTACTAACCTACTGTACATAGCAGTTAATTAAAGAAAAGTATTAACTATAAGAGAACACCACCACTGCTGTTGTCTCGTATCAGTATAAAAAGGCAGTAATTTTTTTGACAGCCACTGATTGGAAAGTTGCTTGCAGCCTTCCAGAAGCAAGGGGGTACATGCTGTGGATCAATAACCAGCAAATTTCCCATTAAAAAGAATACCTGAGCAATGTTCCAAATAGCCACTGGCATCTTAATTTTCCACGGAAACCTCAAATACTTGTGTGCCGAGGACAAGTCATTTTCGGACAATTTTTCCACACTACTTGTTAACAGTTATTGCTGTCCCAAAAGGTTGGCAGCCTACATGATTGATATTTCATTTACTTGTCATCGCTGTGTGAGTAATGGCGACTGCTGTGTTTCTGTGGTTTGGAGGCACCTGGCCTCCTGAAAGACATTGCCATGGTGTGTTCTCCACAGTGTGTGTTTCCCATATGTATCTAAATTGTTAGGTCCACAGAGGGAGAGGATGGCTTTTCTCTGCCATTTGAAATGCTTTGGAGACTAGGCACACTTACATCTGTCCATAGCTACCAAAATTCACCTTTGCCTTACTTGTTAGTAGGGCACAAAGCTTTAGACTTCTGAAATTGTGATTCCTGAGATAATGTGGCATTTTATAGTTACCTTTCATTTCTAAGGAAAACCAATCTTGATCTTGTAATAATTTTAAATATGTTTTTTGGTACTGGGGATTCAACTCGGGACCTTGCACTTGTGAGGCAGGTGGCAGAACCACTGAGCTAAATCCCCAGCCTTGTAATAATTTTAATGCACATTAAAGCAGTAGGAAACTGTATGTATCTTCTAAAAAGACACCTTTTTTTTTTTTTTTTAGAATATCAGAAAATGATAATCCAGGAGAAATTTTCTTAAAATTTGGTAGGTAAATAATGATGTGTTTTTAATGTAGAAACAGCAAGGATGAAAGAGAAGGGTTTTTTTGTTTGTTTTTTTTCGGTGGTACTGGCGATTGAACCCAAGGCCTTTGCACTGAGCTACATTCCCAGACCTTTTAAGATATCTCTTAGATTTTGAGACAGCATCTCACTAAGTCACCAAGTTGCCCAGTTTGGACTTGAACTTGTGATCCCTCTGCCTCAGCCTCCCAGAGTGCTGGGATTATAAGAATGAGCCACAGTGCCTGGTTTGGAGTTCTGCACTTTGTCAACCCTTCAAAATACAAAAGCAGCAGCTTTTGTGGTTGGTATTTTTCCACCAAGAGCATCATTCTTTTGTTTGCCTAGCATTGAAAGAAGTGAAAGTCCAGAATCTGTGCTCGCCAATTCCGATATTAAGGAAAATGGCCATCAGACCACAATATGACCTACTTCATGATTTGTGCTTATGAAGTACAATGAGAACTTTATTTCCTTTGCCCAGAATTTTACTTGAAATTTGATCCATTCTGAAGTGTTTATAAGGCTAAAGGATAAGAGGTATGTTTGCTTGAAACTAGACTGCTTTTTTATCCTAAAAATAGCATCATTTTTGGATGAGTCATGTTTTGGTTGCTGCTTTCACAGTCTCTGTAACTTGTATTTCTGCTCTTTGTGTTTTATGCACACATGTGCGTGATGTTTCATTAACTGGCATGTAGGTCTAAACCAGAAGTGAAGCTTCTTCATTTGGCTTTGTAAACCCAGACCAAGAGGACAAGAGGCAATCTGAGCACTTTACACTAAAATACTTTTTGTGGCATTTTAAATATATGCCATTTAAAATATTTTTTGAATACTAATATGTGGTGTTAATCAGTGTTTTTATTCTTAAAGCTAAGTGGCCTGTGTGGAGGATAACACTATAGCAGACTTCCAATCCTGAATATATTCACTGTAGTCATTTTGATGTGCCAGTAGGGGAAAAGTATTCTCAAGGCTAATATATGCATACCAGCAATTTACAAAAGTGCTATGAATTAAACAACCCATAAGTGTCTGTTCCAGTATTCATACATTACTGAGTAATCTCTTTCTATAATCTCTTTGCAGTATTATTCCACAGTAATGGAACAGCAAGTAAGTGGACAGTTAATAGAGCCTCTGCAGATATTTCCAAGAGGTAATGTTGAACAAATTCTAATCAACAATAATTATTTCAGTAAAGTGTTTCATCAACAGTTATGTTTTCCAAAGGTTTAAATGCACATAACATGATGTTTAGCTCTTAATTTGAAAAAAAACAAAAGAAGTATTCATTATCGTGGGGATTGCAGGCTATATTATAGTTATAGCAGATAAAATATCTAATTTACTAGAGTAAATTAAACTAACTAGATTGGTTTTTGTTTTTGAAGCACATACTTACATTCGCTTAAAGAACTCTTTGGGGGTCCCCTGTTTCTAAACCAAGGCAAATGAATGACTTTAATTCTGGGTATTTATAAACTGTGGCAAGTGATGGTGGCTGAGGAGAAAGCTTTTGGCTAGTACGTAAGCTACAATGTACAGGGGAGTTTTAGGAAAGAAACTTGGGTAGGATGCTGGGTGCTTGGTTTTGAGGGGGGAGATATTTTCTAAGTAATGGAAAAATCTTCCTAAATAGAAATTTGATTAAGTCTCAAAACATGAGCAAATGAGGGTGATCTCAGTGACTCACCTGTCAGATAATTTTCTTCTTCCCCTTTAGGCTTGGCAGTACTAGCCTTGTATCAGATACGATTGTTCAACTGTGTATAAATGTTCCTTCAAAATTTGAATAATGGTGAAAAAGAACAGTTTAATTATATAAACCATTAAGATTAAGTCTTCCACCCATTATATATTGCCCTACTTGGAATCTATATTTTCCAACTACTGCAACAGATAAGGAAATTCTCTAAGAAACTCTTCTAGAAATAACTTAATTGAAATAATTAAAAATTAAACTTACCTTCGTTAACTAATACTGTACAAATAATCATGGTATGAGTTTTCCAATTAAACACTCTAGACTTTCATTACCTGTAACTCTCTGAAGTTTCAATGGCTCAATTAACCAGTAGGCTCCTATCTACAGTGAGGAAGTCTCCAAAGACAGCTGGCTTGGTCAGCCCATGAGCAGCTCTGGGTTCAAGCAATCCTGCTATTCTGTGTAGGTGGCAGAGTCAGGAGCACTTATCAGTTATTAATAATCTATTAAAATGCTAAGGAAGTGAATAAAATTGGGTCACTTAAGGTCAATTATCATCTGAAACAAGGATTCTAATTAGTCCAGTTCTGTTGTACTTGAAGACTAAACATCAAAAGGAAAAAGAATGGACAAGAGAGAAATGTCGCTATTTCTGTGTATTAGGACACTAACGAGGATGAAGGTTTTAATGCTCTCAGTAAATGAAAATTTGGGGCAAGTTTTCAAAAATTGTTTCTCCACAAGGAATAGTTTTTTTACAAGCTGAAAATTTCCATTAATTGCTTCACAGCTCTGGGTAGCAAACTCAAGTACAGCATCCCAGAGAATTATTGTTCCAATACTATGGGGCTTTGTTTTTTCTTTTCAGTAAAATATTTACTTCTCTTTACCTGAAATTTTCTCAAGTTTGGTGTGTTTTCTTTCATTTTGTGCTTAGTCCTGTCAGTGTCACCATACACCACTGTGCCCCCTCCCATGGTAATGACAGCCACTTTTAGACATGGCTCTGTGGAGGCGCTAATACTGCTCTGTGTGCCATTATTCTGTCTCCCCAACAATGGCACCTCTGTTGTGTGGATGAGACTGTTGAGGCTCAGAGAGGTTAAGGCACTTCAGGGTTACACAGCATATAAGTGATTGATACTCCCTTTGAGGTAAGAATTTTATCTAACTCATAATTTACTTAAAGTGGAAAGTCATGTAAGTTAAAATGCCACTGCAGCACCATGAGAGTAGCTTAAAACTCCATCTCCCTATCTCAGTGGGGTTTTCTGTGCTATAATTCAACTCTTCTGGTTTTTGCTGTCTTGTACTTTTTGTGCCCTGTCTACATCTGTCGTACGTAGCTAAGTGAGTTATGAAAGGTACACAATTTGGATATAGACACATTGGGTGTAATTATCTGGTTTGCTTAGTGTGACAAGCCCTCAGACCTTAGACTCTGTGTCAGGCCCCATGTTAAAAAGAATCATTAGACTGAACAAGTCAGATGCAAAGGAGGAAATTAGTCTGTTCTAGTAACATGTTTTCCTCTTTCCAAGTAATACAGTTGCCTGATATAGTAGCTCTCAGCTCATGGCCAAGTCTTCCTGTAGTTAAAAGATGTGTTAAATGTTGAGAAGTACGAAAATTCACTGACCTTATACTAACTGCTGGCTCCATAACTTTAGGATGTATGAGGTTCCTGGATTTTCTGGAATGCTGTTTCAGTTTCTAGTTTAAAGGCTTGAGAAGCAAAGCAGGTGTTAAAATGAAAGATAAGAGTTGATGCCTATCTCTGCATGTCTTGAGTGCCCTGGATACTTTGGTAGAATTTTTTTTTTTTGGTAGCAGGGATCGAACTCGGAACCTTGCACTTGTGAGGCAGGCGGCAGCACCACTGAGTTAAATCCCCGGCCCCTGGTAGAAATATTTTAAGGTGTTGTCTTGGAAGTACTGGGTCCCTCAAGAGTCATGCACTAAATAGATGTGACTGTTTTGTTCAAAATTAATTTCCATTTTGTATGGTGGCACATGCCTATAATCTCAGCTACTTGAGAGGTGAGGCAGGAGGACCACAACTCAATAAATTAAAAAGGGCCAGGGATGTAACTGTAGAGCGCTAGCCTTGAATGAGGTTCAGTCGCCTGTACCAGGCAAGAAGAAAAAAGTTAATTTCCATGTTAAGGAAAGAAGATTTGGAGCCTTAATTTTAATGTGCTTTAGAAAGATAAGTAAAAGCCCTTTATTAAGATTTAGATGTATTTTCTAGGAAAATAAGAACAAATTTGAATTTACTTGAAATATACAAAATGAAATTCGTGCTTTGTAATTATTACTCACACCTTATTATTAAGCAGCTCCATTTCTTGTCAGAAACAGAGGAAAAATACTTGTACATCCGAGGGAGAAAAAAAATCAAATTCACCCTTCCCTAAACAATCAATCAAACCTGACAGCCCCTTAACATACAATTTGTAGGGCGCAGTAGTTTTCAAATGGAAGTAGTCTATAACATGGGCAGGAAGCTTTTGTATTTTTAACATTTGATGAAGAAGCATTTGCTGAATTGGAAAAGTACTAACCTGCAAGTCAGGATGGTGCTGAGAAGTTAATATTGTTTTTCCTGGCAGTGCTTTATCTTTAGATTTAAATGTTGCAGATGTCAACAAAATTTACAGTAAGTATAATAAAATTTGTTATATATTTGTATTTCAATAAGTTCAGTTGTTTATGGCTATAAACACTAGTATTCAAACTTAAGTATCCCATCTTAGAGTCTCTGGCAATCCTTTTGGGATTAAAAGATCTTTTTCCCACTCCTCTTTCAAAGCAAACAAAACCCCCAAAACCTTAGCTCTTCTCGAAGTAGTTTAACTGGTTGCAGATATACAGTGTAATAGAGTGAGGAAAATTGCAGAAATTTGAATTATGAAAGGAATTAATCATTTTAGCTCAGTTAACTTGATTTTTATATGTTTTGAGCAGAAATTGGAATTTATATGAAGTGTCAGAAAGCTCTTTGCATTTATAAATGCACACTCCTGCAAGTTAAAACCCTGGTTCATAATTCCCACTTTGGGTCTGGGGAGCCACTTTTCAATCATTTCTCTCTGCTAATTTTGGTGTCACCCTCATTTCTTTTTAAACGATTCATTTTGAGCAAATTTGTAAATGGCCCTGATGTGTTCTACAATTTAGTCAATTACTGTTTCAGCCTGCAAGCCTCCTGGGGAACGGAACATACATGGCCTGAAGGTATGAATTTCAATAATTGTTTCAGTAAAGTTGGATGGATTTGTAATGCTGTGTTCCACTTATTGAAATGTCAAATAAAACTGCACTTTCTCAAGCTCTGACAAGCCATCTTTTTTTTTTTTTTTTTTAAATGGGAGGTGGAGGGGGATTCATCTGAGGTATTTGCCCAATATGTGCATGTATTTGGATACTGGTTTTTGGTGCTGTAGTTTTAATTATTTGGAATTGTTTGATTGGTCATTTTCTTCAGGATGGTCTTTATCTTTAGATGGTCTTTATCTATAACTCCTCTCCTGAAGGCTTTATTCGAGTGAAATTACAGTCTTCATTTCAGTGATTAATTAATCATGTAAGCATATTGCACACAATACCCCCCCCTTTTGACATATTTATGCTAGAAACATATATCTAGTTAATGTCTTTTTATTGTTCTGTGTATTTTGAATTCTAGATTTCTGCTTAAAGCTTCACATCTGAAGAAAAGCTGGCTATTTTATTAGGCTCAAATATTTCATGGTGAATTACTCAGACCTTATTTTTTAGGGAATAAGAAACAGTCTATAGTGTTCTATTTGGTTGTAGACCTGGGAGGATACGATACCATGAAGTTCACTACTAAACCCTGGGTATATTCTCAGGGTGCTTTTTTGAGCTTATTGTCTGAATCTGTGCTCTAGATATTGAGTTCCATCTTCCCTCTGTTTATCTCGCATTTTCAGGATTGCTTAAGTATTTGAATAATGGCGGGGCTAGAGGGTTATATAATATACGGATTATACAGTTCTATAACCTATGTACTAAATAGACTGCAACCGTGGGCCTGTCTAGCAACAAGCTAATTAACCTTCATAGTGAAATGAGAAATGTGTGGCAAATTATAGGTTAATTAGAACCGTGTCCTCAGAACACAAGACTGATCAAGATTCTTTCTTTACTTATAGGTGAATACCCGGGCTGGACCCTCTCAACACACCAGCCCAGCAGTCTTGGATTCACTTCCAAGCAATAGGTGAGAGGCAGCAGGAGCGGTGTGGCCTGATGTGGTCATGTGCAGAGCCGGGGTGGGATAGGGAAGCGGCCTGTTGGATGACCAACAAGCGTGTGTGTGGTTAAAAAGAAGTTTGACCAACTCGGGAATCCTAGCTACATGTTGGACGGAGAGAAAGGACTTCACAGAGAAAGATGAAATTAGACACGTTTGACTCTTAATTTTGCTCTGTGAAGTGGCTTTTCATCAGCCTCCAAATTAAACAGAAAATTTGGTGCCTCTTTCATGCCTCCATGATCTGGTTTGTTAGTCATATAATACTAATTTTTTCTTGCTTGCACATCTTTTGGCAGTGACATTGTACACTGGGATCTTCTCCAGAGAGGGACAGGGAATGAGTCAAATGATAAAATGTAGATTGACCGGCCCTGTCACTCATTAGTAGGATCTTTGGTTGTACAGGAGCTTAAAGCTGTTATCATAGCAAGATGATTTTCATTAATTCACGCTAACATTGCTCCATGCAGGGATGGGTACTAAAGACTTGTACCTCATGAAAGTACTTTTACGAGCCTGAGAACCCACTGCCTGACTGTTCTTGGAGTGACCAGCTTCGTTTTGGATGCACTTTGTCTTGTCCAGCCCGTCAGCATCATGTTGCTGTCCTGCAGGGTGGCCCTGTGACAGGGACTGCTCCACAATTGTGGATTCACACTGGTGACCGAAAAGCCAGCACTGAGCCAGAGCCCCTTCCCATCCCAGTGGAGGTTTTCCAGGTCTCAGGGCTTCAGCCAGACCAAAGGCTGCCTCTTCTGGGCTGAGATGCAGTTCAGGTTCCTACTTCCCCTTTGCTGCCTCTCCTTCCCAGTCACCCACACTCTGGGCTCTGTGTCCCAGTGGCCTCCCTGCAGTATTTTAAAGTCTTATCTTCTGAGTCCCTTTACTTTCCTGACCCTCCCCCCAGAGTCACTTCCTTGATTGCTTTGTCGTGGCAGCAGGGTGTCTACCAGCCAGCTTTCCTGCCGTGAAACATGGCTCACACAGTTCCTTCCCTCTGAAAGTGGTCAGCCTTGGCACTCACCATGGAGCATCTGCTCGTGGGGCGCGGTCAAGGCCTTAGTGCTCTGCAGCGGAACTTTGCAGCTTCTCTCTCTGCTGGTTGGGCACATGAGCCAGGGTCCCCAGGAGTGGTGGCAAGGGGGCAGAGGCCCGCTTGGTACACCCAGCTCCAGAAGGGCAGAGCGTTTCAGAAGGGGGTCGTCCAGACTGAGCGCAAGCCCGAGGAAGAGCGACGGCTTTGCCTGGTATTTTAGGTCAAAAAGCAAAATGGAATTGAAAAGACTGTAAGATGAAGAAGCAGGATAACTTTTTAGGTCTCCCACATTCATTGTAACAACATGTGCGAATTAGCTTGGATATTCAAAAATTATCTTGTGAATTCAGGTTGTTATAAGATCATTGCATTGGATAGAAGTTCAGAGACCACCTGATAATTTAATGGTTCTTAGCTGTTTGTCTGTGGTGTCTTCATTTAGGAATGTGAGGGCCTCCCAAATAGTATTGATTGTTTGCTCTAGTAGTATTTTCTGTTTCGGGAGGAATGTTATTTGAAAAAGACCAACAGCTGATTTAATATGGCACCTTAGGTTGGCTATGTTCTGTGCCCCAGGTTGACGACTAATCAACAGGTATTGAGTACTTCTTACTCATTGGGTGCTGTCCAATGTGGCCATTATCCCCCGAAGTTCACCATCTAATAGGTATACAGGCAGAAAAAAAGAGTACACAACAGCTACACTTTATGGTTAGCCTGGTGAAGGGAAGGGAACAGATTGGATGCCAAGAGAGATGACACCAGACAGTAATGTACTTAGATTTAGACTGAGGGCTCTGGGAAGAGGGTCCCTGGGGAGAGTGATGTTTCTGCCTAGACCCGAGGGACGATGGTTAAGACTTGGCCCTGCAGTGGAGAGGGAGCCCGGCATGCGCATAAGGAGCCAGTTGGACTGGAGCTCAGGGAGGGCTGTTGCAGTGGGCCAGGAGTAACGAGAGATAGGGTGTAGACAGGACGATTGGCCTTTCCCCTCCTGCACAGAGCCCAGTAGCGGGCTTTGCAGCAGTGTGACAAGGCTGGCTTGGGTTTTATCAGACCCTCTGGCTGGTGCAGAGTAGGAGAAGCACCCCCTAATCCCACTGCCTTTGACACCTGATGCCCCATTCCTTGCCTGATGAGCACCAGGCCTTGCTACACATTCCTGCGGCAGGAGGCACTTTATTGGCCCAGGCAGCCCCCGTTTTCATTTCACTACATCATAGCAAGTTCTCTTTGCAGGCTGAGATTTGTCTTCCATTAGGGCCCACTTACAAAGATTTAGTTTAGTCCTGAGAACATGCCTGCTCCCTCTTGCAGATCATGGCTCTTCCCATCGTCTTCCCACCAAGTACACTTCTCCGAGCCTCCCTTCCTCAGCACCCCTGACACACATGCACACAAACACACACACACATTGTTGGTCTCTTCAGGACACCTGTCTGTTGTCTTTCACTTCTTCCTGACCTCATGTGAGTGGCCCTGAGACTGTCCACCTGCCAGCATCCTGTCACTGCACAGCTGTTCCAGGCTGTCCAGGTTGCTGCCATCACCTCCATCCAGCCTGCTGCATTGCAGCCCCTCCTCCGTGCTGCAACTGGAGTGATCTTGTTAATTGTATTAGCTTTTCCTTACTATAATTAAACCTGGAGGCAGGTGACTTTATAAAGTTAAGAGGATTTTTTAGCTCACAGTTTTGGAGGTTGAAAGTTCAGACAGGTGCTGGTGGGGTCCCCTGAGCTCTATTGCTTCCTGGCAGATTGCAGTGGTGGGAACACGTGCAGGAGCAAGCGGTCAGTCCTTCTGTAGGGCGCAGCCCCACTGGTCCCAAGGGCCTCCCACTGGGCCCCACCTTTTCAAGGTCCACCCCCTTGCACAGACCTATGGGGGACCAGTTAAGTCCAACACGCTGGTGGGAGCCATCATCCTCTGTTAAAGCCCATCACAGCTCTTCATGCCCGAAGGTGAAGGGAAAGGCCACAGGTGATGAGCTGTAGCCTCTCACGTTGGGTGCTCTGTCCACTCTAGTCTTGCTCATGAACACCAGTGCCCTGAGTGGACCAGGTCCTCTCACTACCAGGCCTGCACATCTGTTGCCGCTCTTCCCTGTCTGCACCCTTTTCACATATGCATCTTCACCTTCGGTCTGCCTAACCTTGGTCATCTTTGTGCACCAAGTTAGCTTCTTTTGAAAGCTGTCCCTGATGATAGCCACTCCTCATCTGCGCCAGGTAGCTCTTCTATGAATTCCTGTAACTGTGCTCCATGCTTCTGTTTAGGGTAGCGGCGAGCACGTTGTAGATGATCACCTCTGTTCCCCAGTAGCTTCTGTGCTCTTTGAGAGCAGTGATGACAGCGTAGTCACTGTTGAAGCCTCAGTTCTTGCCATGATGCGTGGCACAAAGGAGATAGTTAAATGAATGAATGAATGACTCTATGTACTGTGCCTCCATTCCCTTTAAGTCTTATCTCTGAATTGACTGGTCTCACCTTGTTCTGCTTTTCTGTTATTTCTAGGCCCTTTACCTTTGTTTCTTCAGGTATCTCAATACTTCTCTTCATGTGTCAACCCAGGTTACAGTTGTGTGACATTTAAATTTTAAAATTTTTTGAAAAGTGATTTCTTGATAGCTCAAGTCACTGTGACCATACAGATAAATGAAATATTAAATAAACCGAGTCACAGAGAAATTTCTAGGACATAAAATGATGGGATTTTTTTGGCTTTGTTTTTTGTTTTGTTTTTTGGTGAAGCCAGAGCCTCACACATGCTGACTAACCATGCAGTCATTTACCATTGGGCCACACCACCAACTCCACAAAATGATTTTTCTAAGAAAATCAGATTAAGATGGTAGCTACATATTGACATAATGAATGAAATCACTTTTCTTCTGTTACTCTCAGAGCATGAATTGTTTCTCTCTTTGCCTTAGGTGAGTGACTGTTTATTAAACTGAGCTAACTAAACTACGTGGTGTTCCTAGGCCATAATTACTGAATTTACGTCCCACTACCAAGGCAAGTCCTTTTCCACACAGCTTTGCTTTCTCCTGTAAAATTGGGATGATTAAACTTTCCATCTATCTACCTCTGGTGTTAGTAAGATTGATGAAGCTGTGTTAAGGAATCATGCTTTGTTTCTTGGATGAAAGGCGTTTGTAAATGCCATGAATCAAAATGTTATTATTTCAGGTTTATGACACAATGGAATATCTGTGGAGAAACAATGCCTACACTTTGTTTGGTTGTGTCTTTACAATAATTGGAACTATCAAATTGGGAGTCATTTATAGAAATACTAGGATTTAAATATTTCCCAGAAAAAAAGTGTGTGTTTATGTAAGAGATAGACTTTGAACAAGGTCTGTACTTTAATTTCCTCTATAAATTAGACATAATAACTATATCTAAGGAGTGTAATTATTGTGGAGATTAAATTTGGATAATAATAGCATTTAACACAATGCCTAGCACTTGTCATGGCTCAATAAATGGTAATTGTTATTATTTTGTTAACTGGACTGATTTTAGGCAATTGTTAATTTTTTGGTGTATATTTCTGCTATAATCCCAGTCTACAGCTTTCTTAACTACCAGTTTAGTGCATGGAGTCTTACACTTGGAGGACATAATTTATTAAAGTCCGTCACCCTTAGGTGAGGTCACATCTTATAAAAGCTAGGAAAGTAGAAACTGAGACTCCATAGTCTGTTTGGACTAGATTATGCAGAAGTTTAAAAAGTATTTAGAGGGCCAGAGATTTAGCTCAGTGGTTCTATCACCTGCCTCGCAAGTGCAAGGTCCTGAGTTCGATCCCTGGTACCAAAAAAAAAGTATTTAGAAAGGAGTAATTGCAGCTTGAAATGAAAGTATAGTCTCAGAGTTTGAGAAGTCTGAAATTTTCTCAAATGTAATGTATTAGAAGTGCTAAATGGAATGGATATATTTCATATGAGGTCCTGAGACCTTTTTCTTTCTGATGTTTTCATGATCTTTATGTCTTATTGTGTAACTGTGACAACTGCTGCAATATAATAACAATCAGACCAGTGACTACCATTTAATGGAATGATCAAAAAATAAGGTGAAAATCCAATTTGCAAAATTTATTACAGTAAAAAATACATTGTCATTAATTCCTCTCAAAATACTCCCCCTCTCACCAAACACACTAATCTCATCATTCTTGCCACTTTCTGAGGCAGTTGTGGAAATCTTTCATGAATTTCTTTTAATTGTGCTGTCATGGCTGCCTTGATGTCCTGAATCAACGCAGAGTGTTTACCTTTTGTGGTCATGTTTGTGTGTGTGTGTGTGGTCATTTTGATTTTGGGAAAGAGCCAGAAGTTGGATGGTGCCAGATCTGGTGAATAAGGTAGATTAGGGCACACTGTAATGTTTTTGACAGAAATTGCCACAAATGTAAAGTGTAAACTGCTTCAGAAAGTGGCAAGAATGATGGACTAAGTATGTGGGAAGAGAGGGAGCATATTTTGAGGAAGATTAATAGTAATGAATATTTTACTGTAATAAATTTTAAAATTTAAACATTCACTTTTTTTTTATCACACTTCTTTTGAACACTCAGCACATGCTAAGTCACTGGCAAGGTTCAAGGATGAGAGGGAATGGAATAGGAATATATAGAATAAGATGTGGTCTATCTTCTCAGGGCGCTCCCAGTCTTGGGGGAAGACATAGTGGAGAGAAAGACATCTACACTAGTAACTAACACAAGGGAGAGAGTGTGATAGACAGGTAGAAGGTTAGAGTGGATAGGTTAAGAAAAAAGTTAACAAGCTTTACATGTCAACTAGAACATCGGTGAGGGTAGGTGCTCTTTCATACCCTATTCTACTAGTTGAGTCAGTATGTGAGGGCATAACTCATTACAAAGCTAGAAGGATTTCAGGAGTGCTTTTGGCCACCCCTCTTTCTTAAGAAGGACTTTCACTAAACTCATCCACGTAAATTTTTATATAGTGCTTTAGCTTTCAGTTACCAAAACAAATACTTGAGAAGGCTTATGTTGGCTTACAGTTGTGGAGGTTTCAGTCCATGGTCACTTGGCTCCATAGTGTGTGGCCCATATGGCGAGGCAGCCTTTGGTGGTAGAAGCATGTGATGGAGGAAGATGTTCACTTCCTGCTGGCAGGGAAGCAAAAAGAGAGACCAGTGTCCCACAGTCCCCACTGAGAGCATGCCCACAGTGACTGAAAGTCACCTACCAGACCCTATCTCTCTTTTTTTTTTTTGGAACCGGGGATCGAACTTGGGTCCTTGCACTGGTGCAGCAGGCGGTGAAACCACTGAGCTAAATCCCTGGCCCAGACCCTATCTCTTAAAGTCTCCACCACTTTATAGTAATGCCAATCTGATCACTAAACCTTCAATACTTGGGCTTTAGGGGGACCCTCAAGAGCCAGGCTATAGCACATAGCCATATATGCCCAGAGAACATTTTCTTTTCTTTTCTTTTCTTTTTTTTTTGAGGGAGAAAATAATCATTTATTAAGCTTACAGACTGTGCAGATGCAGTACCCACAGCTCGTCTGTTCAGTGTCTGCGTTCTTGGCCGGAAGATTCGGAAGCCAGGGACAGCAGGCATTGGGGCTTGCTCACTCGCCTGGTAGTCGTTGCTAGCAAAAGGCTAAAGCTACTAGCTGTCTGTGTATGGCTTGGCTTCTTCACAGGAGAGCAGCTTGGTTCCAAGAACAAGGGGTGTACTGACAATGTTTCTTTTGTTGTTGTTTTGTTTTTTACTTTTTTTTAGCTGTACTGGGGATTGAACCCAGGATCTTCACACAGCCTACATCCCCAGTCTATTTTTTTGTTTTGTTTTATTTTGAGACAGGGTCTCACTGCATTGCCAAGCTGGGCTCAGACTTGGAATCCTCCTGCCTCCTCCTTGAGTGCTAGGATTACAGGCATGTACCACCATACCTGCTCATTACTTTTAACCTCAATTGTCAGCTTGCTTGGCTTGAGAGATCCCTTAGGTGATTAGTAAAGTGAACTTCTGAGTACACTGGTTTGGTCAGGAGGGTGTGTGACCTTGGGGACCATATCTGGTCCCCAGCTCCTTCCTCTTTGGCTCTTCCTGGCTCTCTCCTTCCTGGCTATTGTGAGCTGAGTGCTTTCCTTGGCCATGTCCTCCTGCCACAATGTTTGTGCCCTGGAGCCAGCTGACCATGGACTGAAACCTCTGAAATCATGAGCCAAAGCAAGCCTTTTGTTCTTTAATTTGTATATGTCAGGTATTTTTTCCCAGCAACAGAAATGAAACTAACACAAAGGGCAAGCATCCACCCTGAAGTGTAGATGAAGAAGTGTTACTAGCTAGTGTGGATTTTTAGCTACACGTGAGATGAAGATGAGATGTGGGCTGGTTTTGACACCTGCTGACAAGCATTATAGTTGTTTGTCTTCTTTAGTTTCCCTACAGCAGAGGGTCTGCTACCGACTCTGAAGAAGTTACCAGTCAGCCACAGGTTCTTGCTCAGTTCCAACAAATTCACAATTGGGAATTACTACTCCCTTGATGTTAGTGGCGCAGGGCCTTGAGTGCCAGCACCTCTTAGCTCTTAGTGTTCCAATTCCTAGTGGCTTCCTACCACCCTCCCACCCCACCTGGCAGCAGAGCTTATAGCAGTCTCGTAGCTTTCTGGAGTTCCTCACTCCTCTCTGCCTCTCTGCCAGTTGCACTCAGGGCCAGCAGCCCTTGGTATTACTAGCTCCTTTTTAGTGCGACCTACCCATACCTCTCTAGCTGAGACAGAAATCCTGAGTAGGCAGTGGGATCCCCAAGGGAAGCTGTACTGTGACCTGTGCTACAGCAAGCAGGGCTGTGCAAAGGAGGGAACACTGCTTATGAAAGGGAGGAGTGGCCCAGCCATGTTCATCTCCTTCGGCTTGTGGGCCAGTTTTGTGACTCTGGAAGTAGTAGTAGAGGGGGGGAGGGTCCTCTGGAGAGGATGCAGAGTCATTTCGGAAAGGTCTGTGCTTAATGCCTGTTGCAGTCAAGGCAAGTATCTCAGAGCATGGGACATCGAGGATCACCTTTGATGTCAAGTATAGCTTGGTGGAACTTCAGAAGCAGCTGCTTGATTGACAGCTCCCACTGTTTATACAGAAGCTACAGGGCTGAAGTTGTAACTGGTTTCACCAGTGTCCAGGAGGGCAGCAGTATAGACCGTGGCCCAGTAGGGTCTGGAGAGAGAGTGGATGAGCGTGACAGCCCTTGACAATTCTCTGCCCTTCCCTGTTCTTTGCGCTGTCAGGTGCAGTTCTCAGATGTTCCTCAGAGAGACAGTGGCAGCACCGGGAGTACAGGAGGGCTATGTCCCAGCCCTCTCAGGGCTGCAGGAGGAGCTGCATCTGGGAGGGTGGTTGCAGAGGTGACAGGAGATACTGGAGCTAGTTGAGAGAGTTGGTTGTGATGATTATCAGTGACATCACATCGCTTCTTAAGTTTGTAGAAGTTTCAGTCCACAGGCAACTGGCTCCAAGGCAGGGTGGCATGGCACAGGGGCATCACAGAGGAGAAATACTTCTTGGCAGGCAGAAGGCAGCAAGTCTACATTTTCATGTTCCCTAGTAACACCAAGAGCTGTGTCTCATACCTGTAAGACACAGTGCTGTTTTATAATATTTAATTTTCCTGCTTACCCTATAAAGTTAATATTTTCCTCATTTTATAGAAAAATGAAATTGAAGTTCTGAGATAATTTGTAACTTGGCCCAGATCACACAACTGTTGAGAACCAGGATTTAGGGCTGGGGATTTAGTTCAGCAGCACCGTGTCTGCCTCACAAGCTCAAGGTCCTGAGTTCGATCCCTGGTACTGGAAAAAAAAATGCAAAAGTTACTTGAAGAGATGGAGAGAACCAGGATTTATTTCTACAATCCATGTACTTCCCAGGAAATTGAATTGTAACTCTTAATTGTAGCAGAAGACCAGGACCTAAGCCATCTATTTTAGCTTTGAAGTTCTCTAATCTTTGTTTGCTGTGAACATTCTGAGAGTGCATTGTTAAATATGTTGTGTTTAGCAGATGATAGTGTCCACATAGAATTGCCACTGAAAGGCTACCCAAAGGCAGCAGAACTAATGGCTAAAATGTCACTGTAGTGGTCCATAAAATACTGTAGCTTCCTCTTGACTGTAGGCTTCTTTATTACTATAGATTACTATAGGGTTTCAGTCACTTCATTAATATCTTTGGTGTTCAGCAAGTTTGGAAAAACATCTCATGAAGAGAGGAGTATAGTGCATGCCTACACCTAAAAGCAAAGGTATATTTTAGTGTGGTGTTCAGAGGTGCCCATCATCTTGCTGCTATTAGAAATTATGTCTTTCCTTTTCAGCTTAAAGAAGTCCTCTGCCGAACTGAAAAAAATATTAGCCAATGGCCAGGTAGGTATTGCTACCTATTAAGATTTTCAAATAATAGTGACTTCTTATTGTCCAGTTTTTATCCATAAACTTATTAAACAATAAAAGTGTCTGTGAATTTCTTCTTGTCATAAATGAGTAACATGGCTTAATTTGATTGGCAGAACAATTTGCAGCCTGTTTTTCAAACTGTGCTAATGGGTTTCACTCCCAGCAGATTGAAGGACCATACACACACCCCGCTGCCATCTCGTCTAAAAAGTTAATCAGTTCTGAACAAGTGTGTCAACCCATGGATTGTTGAGATGGCCCTGCATTCTGAGGCAACTGTTTGTTTCATTGTCTTTGGAGAGAAGAGGAAAAACTGTTACCTTCTTACCTTAGCTCCTTCTTTTGTCCTGAAACTAACACTGGTTTTGTAGGGGACTGGGGGAACAGCAGACCTTTGGCACATAAAATCCCTGGGGCCCCAGAGACCTTGGTTTGCCTGGTCGACGGGCTGTCTGAAGCTGAATGACCTAACCCAGCCAGTGAGGGACAAACAGCCCTGCAGGCCAGTTATTTCTCACTAATTTTGATTCAAGTAAATGGCCACATCTGAAATAGTATAGTGCTTTTAAACATACACTGGTAAATTAAGCTACCTACAGGGTCCTCGATTCTTCACAAGCAACATAAATGCGTTTTAATGTTTGTTATAGTGGAAGCCCTTTGATAGCCTCGGAGGCAGGCGCCTGTCCATTGCGATCAAGCCTGCCTATTAGGCTCTATTGACTGAGACATCTGTGTCACTGCAAATAAAAGACTCTTATTGATTTTCTTAACTGCTGTTCACTTCCCGTCCATGTTTCGAAGGCTGAAATCTTAATTATCTCAGATGCTTATTCAGTGCCTTCACACGCTGACCTCTCCAAGCCTCATTGGCATTTCATGAATCAAGTACTTCTAGTGGAGCATGTCAAGAAGACAAAGCTGGGTCCTCATGCTTGTCCTTTAATATCACCTGTAACATTGTGGCCTAATAGATGTGTGTGCCTTGAAACCGTGACTGTGTGGTTGCGCTTCTGGACGCCTGCTTACTTAGCACGCAGTCCTTTGAATCCAGTTAGAAAAAATTAAGTCGATCAGGTTCTGACAGCTGGTTGTCATCCAGAGTGTGTGAATTTCAGTCCTTAAATATTCTGCCTACAGCTGAGAGAATCTGGTGTTACATGTATAATCTTGGTAATCTCAAAATTTAGGTCTTTTTTTTTGGTAGTGCTGGGGATTGAACCCAGGGCCTCACGCATTCTGGGCACATGTTCTACCACTGAGCCACACCCATAGCCCCCAAATTCTTGATAGTATTTATCTAATGCTTTTGTCTTTAAGCAGCCAGATGTCTGTTGAGATTGAGGTCCACATCTATATCCCCCAGTGCCTGCTGTGAGCACAACCAGGATGAAGTAAAACCTGACTAAAAGCAGAAATATCGAGCTGAGGATATTTATGTATCTTCAGCATGCTTTCATTCTAGTTACTAATTGTAATTTATGTATAAGTCACTTGTGTTCTTTGGCTGGAAAATACATTTCAAAATTGACATAAATTAAGAAGTTTTAACTACATTTGTTCAACCCAGGCAATGGAAAATAACCTGTCATAGATTCTTCTTTCAAAAATGAAAAACATTTTCTTTCCACTGCAAAAAAAAAAGGATTCTGAAATGTTTTGACAACAAACCTGGTACCATAAATATCTCAGTGGTCTCAGTTACGAGGTTCACTGTGGTGGGAGATTGTCATGGCAATGATTTTTGACACTTAAAGATTGTTTATTGCTTTCCCTTGGGAGTGTGCTAACCCGACATTAGACAGTATGGCATTTTCTCACTAAAAAAGGATAAGCTTTTGAAAAATTGTTATTATTATTATTATTTAATTTTGCTCAAAAAACAAAATCAATCCTTCATCTTTGGAAGTTTTCAAAATACCTCCTCCTGTAAATTCCTCAATTGGTGCTGCAGAGTAACTAAACAGCGGGTGAGACCACACCGCAGTGAGGCAGTGTGAATGGTATGGGCGATACATTCCTGGGCTGCACATGACACCACTTGATATGGAAGATGTAAGTCACATTTAACAATACTTTAACACTTGAGCATAGTTTTTTATTTTAGTGGTTTATGCTCTCAAGCATTAATAATGATTTGCCTTTCCACTAGCCTCCACTTAGATTTAATAAGGAATTCATATTAATCATTAAAAGAAAGGGACATGATTCTTCAAGATAATCAAATATTGACAGGTTAGAAATAGCTTTCTGCCTGGGTTCATTGATATAGGTTATGTGATATAAATATTTATTTCTTTTCTGTCACTCAGAGTAAATGCCACCAATTGATTCAGCATTGATATAGTGTCAACAGTTCATAAGAAACATTTGACTGGGTTGTGTTTTCCGATTAGTCTCTGCTCTATAAAGTGGGATTTACTAAATCTCTCCAATTGTCTGCTCATAGAGTGTGACTGCTTTCTGAAACCATTATTGCTTCGATTTGTGAAGCAAAGGTCTAGTGATAGCACTAATTTCTATCAGACCCTTATATATAAAATAAGGACTAATTGAGCATTTTTATTTTAATGATTTATAAACGATAGGTACTAATTCTTCTTAACACAGGCAGACAATAAACAAAGAACATTTTCTTTGCTGATCCATAATTGAATTCCACTTCATTTTTTTCATTAATCTCATTAATACATTCGATCAAGCACTGTTTTAAAAGTTTTAACATGTAGCATTTGGAATGGAGACTTTGTTTTCCTGGTATCACCTTGTGATGGAAGATTCCATTTCTCCATCTTAAAAAGATAAATCAAAAGATATTTTTAGCATGTTTTTTTGAGAGCTATAAATCAGTCTCACTGCTCTGTTTTCTGGTTGTGTTTTCCCACTCAAGTCCAGTGTTGCACTGTCTGTTTAACATTGGCCTTGGGTTTGAAACTGGTTAGAAATAGCCCAAAGGGCCAATTAAAGGATTTTAAAAGTGTGCAGTTATTCCAAAGATGTGTAACTTTGACCTTTATATCTCTAAAGGTGTTGTTATTCTTTTTGTTTTTTATATTTTGTAGCAGAGGATGACGGTATTTTCCTAGACTCGATAAATCAAATGTAACTATACTGAGAGTCATGGATCTAGAACTAATTCTGGTCCTGCTGCATCTTTGGCTGTTGTTTTGAAAAGTTGAAATACCTGTGGAAAAACTCTTTGAATTTAGATCGAAAGGGGTGAGGAATTAGAAGTACAGTGGTACCTTGGTTCATGAACTCAGTTCTTTCCATGATTCTGGTCACAAACCAAACTGGACAAGAACCGAATCAATTTCCCCATAAGGTCAACATTGAACCTAACCATTATATTTGATTTGGTTCTTGTCCAACTCAGTTTGCAACCAGAATCGTGAGCTCTCAAGTGCTGGGTTAGGCTAAGGCAGGAGGATCACTTGAGCCCAGAAGTTCAAGAGGAGACTAGAAAACATAGCAAGACCTCACCAACCTATCAAGCACTTTTTAAAACATGAGAAATGTATATAAATGTATAAAAATTAGAAAATTCAGATAAGCAAAAAAAGGAAAAGAAGCTAATGTTTTGTAATAGACCCTTTAATCATTTTTTAAAATAGATACTGTTTCCAAGTTTTAGCTATTACAAACTGTGCTGCTATGAACATGGATGCACATGTATCACTGTGGTATGATTCTTTTAATTCTTTTGGGAAGATACCCAGCAGGGGAATAGCTGAGTCAAATGGGACCTCTAGTTCTAGTTCTTTGAGGTATCTCCATACTGATTTCCACAGTGGTTACACCAGTCTACACTCCCACCAGCAGTGGAGCAGGGTTCCTCTTTCCCCACAGCCCCACCAACATTTTTATTGGTTGATTTCTTGATAGCAGCCATTCTTT